GCTATTTTTTTTTTTTTGGTTGCAGCCGTCATTGTTGTTTGGTGGGCCGGGCTGGATTTGAACCTGCCGGCTCAGATGTATGTGGCAGGTGCCTTAGCTACTTGAGTCACAGGCGCTGAGCAGCCCATCTATTTTTTGTTGCAGTTGTCATTGCTGTTTAGCTGGCTTGGACTGGTTTCCAACCTGCCAATCTTGGTGTATGTGGCTGGCGCCGTAATCACTGTGCTCCGGGCACCAAGCCTGAGAGATACTTTTTAAAATGGTGCCACCTGACATTCATGAAAGACTTGAAATAGACTTTCTCAGTGTCTTCATTGGCTTGATACATTAGACATCTCATCTCTTAGGTTCTACTACATTATATGATTTTGAAGTTCTTATTTACATAATTGCTTTGTAAATAACTAAATATATAAATTATTTACTTTTAAGCTATGTAGTGGAGAAAATAGGTAAATGTTACAACTAACAATTTTTTTTCCTTTTCTCTCTCTCCTTTTAAGCCGGTATATGAAACAGCCTTTGCCTGATGAGTCTGGTGGCTCACCCTTGGAACCAGGGGCCTATAATGGCTCCAGGGGTAGTTGTGAAGGTGAGCATACCACACTGTGGAGCTGTAGGGCTGTGAGGCTGTGACTGACCAGATCGCTCCTAATAACTGTCTTCTTCTGAAGGTATTAGATACATGGGAGAGGGAAACTCTGAGGCTGGATTAGGGGCTCTACCTATAGCAGCAGACTCTGGAGCCAGGTATGCATCACTCTGTTCTGCCAGTTCCCATTATCCAACTTTGGCACTCTCAATAGAGTGCTGTGGCGTCACAGGTCACAACAATCTCTGACTCTCTTGGACTTAAGCAATTCTTTTGCCTCAGCCTCCCAAGTAGCTGGGAGTACAGGTGCCTGCCATAGTGCCCGGCTATTTTTTTGTTGTAGTTGCCATTGTTGTTTGGCAGGCCAGGGCTGGATTCAAACCTGCCAGCCCTGGTGTATGTGGCTGGCGCCCTAACAACTGAGCTACAGGTGCCGAGCAGCGAGACTGGTCTTGAACTCCTGAGCTCAAAGGAAGGATCCCCCCTTCTTGGCCTCCCAGAGTGCTAGGATTACAGGCGTGAGCTATCATGCCCAGCCTGTATTCAGATTTTTATTCTTGCCAAGAATGCTGTGTTCTCCCACAGGGATGGACAGGAATGTACTTTGTGTATTGATAACACAAGCAGAGGGGTTGCAGTAGTAATGATCATCTCTGAGCAGATCCTGGGTGACTTGTGGTGTTCCAGAGCTAAGGCACTCTGATCTCCAGCTCAGGATGTGGGGAGGACTTTAACAAGTCACTTCTTCCCTGTGAACCTTAGTTTACCCATCTGCAGAATGATACCTGTTTTGCAGAGTTGAGATTGCAATTTAATGAAACCATGTAGTTAATGTACCTGGCACATAATAGGTGCTCCATCGGGGCTTTCCATTTGGATTCTCTCCCTCCGCTGCCAGAAGTCCTGCTCCCACTCTTTTGCTTCCCCCTCTTTTGCTTATCATGCTTATTAATCTTTCTCCTGGACAATAAACTCTGTACTGTCACTTAAAAAAAAAAATAGAGGTGGCACCTGTGACTCAAAGGAGTAGGGTGACAGCCCCATATACCGGAGTTAGCGGGTTCAAACCTAGCCCTGGGCAAAAACTGCAAAAAAAAAAAAAAAGAAAAGTGCTCTATCAATGAGAATACCTTATATTTGCTGCTGTTATAGCTGGCCCTGCTTATTAAACACTCCACACTCCATTGTTAGTTTCTGTTCAGAAAGAATGACAGTCTTCTTTTTAATGCTACAAGTGAGTCTTGGTGTGTAGACTTCAGACCCTGTTTAACCGCAAATTACTACTGCCATGGCCCTTGTTAGGCCTATTACTGCTGACCTTCATCTTTGCTTCTGTGAGGTTTCTTGAATAGCTATTTCTAGTGGACCTTGCTATTTTTTAATCATCCTATAATACACACTTCATGGCATTTCGTTCTGACTGCATTGACCGTATGTTCCTGAGGTTTGCAGGTAATTGGCAGCCAGTGGCATGCCCACGGAGTAAGTTCTTGTAGTATCAGGATGTTGCTCATTCCCTGACTGGGGTTGAGGTAGTTGGTTCTCTCCTTCCCTGAGATGCAGTGGGCAGGACAGGGATTTCCTTGCCAGTATAGGAATGGGACAGGCTTGGCTGGCAATAATGGGGCATTGCCATTGCCTCAGGAATTAAGTAAGTTGGGAAAGGAGCTTCTGCCAAAGCTAAGACTTGCTGGAGTTCTTAAATAGCACATGTTTCTTTCCTCAGAGTTTATATTTTCACTGATACTTCCCAAAGCATATAAACTTTGTATTTTAAATCTGTTCTTCCCTTAATATTTTAATTGCCTTTTAGAGCAGTCTCCATCTTTATTTATTATTATTTTTTTTTGAGACAGAGTCTCACTATGTTATCCTTGGTAGAATACTGTGACATCACAGATCACAGCAACCTCTTAATTCTTGGGCTTAAGCAATTCTCTTGCCTCAGCCTCCCAAGTAGCTAGGACTATAGGTACCTGCCACAATGCCTGGCTGTTTTTTTTATTGTTGCAGTTGTCACTGTTGTTTAGTTGGCCCCAGCCAGGTTTGAACCCCGTACCCTCAGTGCATGTGGCCATCGCCATAACCACTGTGCTATGGGCGCCGAGCCTCCATCTTTATTGAAATACTTTATCTGATACATTTCCTTTTAGACCTGGCATCCCCTCATGGAGCGCTGGGACCAAAGATGGTATTTGTACCTAAGAGATATTCAGTAAATACTAGTTAAAGGAATATTCAGCATGTGTTTTTTTCTGGAGGAACAGAATACTTTTATTAATATTTTTATTCATTATAACATTTGAAAATTTATTTATTTTTGAGATAGTCTTAAGCTGTTGCCCTGGCTAGAGTGCTATGATGTCATAGCTCCGATTCCCGGACTCAAGCAATCCTCTTGCCTCAGTTTTTTTTT